TGTGTGTGTGTGTGTGTGTGTGTGTGTGTGTGTGTGTGTGTGTGTGTTGTAGCAATGAATTTTATAAACTGTTTAGACTTTAATGCAACTCTCAGTAAGTAATCCGTGGATGTACATCTACAACTGATTAACTTTAAGAGTCACTCTTGTTTAAGATGGCCCAACACAGCTTAACTGTCCTTAGCAAAACTGACTATTAGTTAGTTTTACAGGTTTTCAAGCTAAAATTTGTTGTGTGTTTTATGGTTCTGTTGGTTTTATCTGTATCCGGTAAGAGATAAATGTAATACACTGAAAGATAATCAGGCTAGTCTCATGCTGGCTGTCAGGGATGACGTCCTATTTCAGTCTCTGGAAAACTGCTCTGGTACCAAAGATCTTATGTCTTGTATTTATAGAATATTAGCTCCAGAAGCACCTYGCACAAACAATTTTATGCCGAAGTGGGCTGCATATCTTTCAGACCCAACTCATTCAAAACAAAATTAATGCTGTTTTGATTCTGATTTTCAAATATTTACACCTGGATTAACGGGTCAAAAGCTACTAGCTACATGTAAACATTTTTTCAAACYGAAATCCTCAACAATCTCAACCCAAAGACCGCTCTGAAGAGCTCTGAGGCGAGTGCTGGTGAACAGGATGTTCAGATCCCTGTTGCTGCTGACACCACGGCGTAAGCACAAATCTGTCAGGGAAACAGTTGTGGCAGTTGTGATAGCAACAAGGCAGAACTAACACAACGCTACGCTCAGAGGATGCAACTGTGGCTTCACAAAAGGAAGCTAAACAGCTGGTGTTTGAGATAATCGGGGACCAAATATTTGTTAAAATGATAGAAAGCACCACAACCAACAAGAGAACTCACAGGATTGAACAAATTCTCGCTTGTGCAGTTTATCTGTGACATCTGTGGTTTGTGTGCTGCAGGTAAACACCGAGTTTTGCGGCTTGGAGCACACACTCTTGCACATTGAAAACACAGGGTTGTAGCATCATCAAGCCTTGTGCTTTGCAGCCTCTGTGTCTTTAATATGCCTCTCAAAAACCTGAGCGTTTTAATAGCAAATCCTTTTCTTCCGGTGCATTCGGCTCTCCTCGTCTGGCTGTGCCGCACACGCCGGCTCGTTTTTTTTGCCATCCCTTCGGCCCACAACAGATGTGACATCACCGGAGCACGGCGCCACTCTGCCCACCCCCCCTCCTCAATTCTCTGATTCCCCAGCATCTCTCTGTCTCCCACGCATTCCTTCTTTCTCTTTGCCTCTGCACACACAGCCATTTTGATCTCACAAACAAGACCTGTGAGACTCACTTGGGCAGAGAGAGCACRCAGTGTGAAGGGAAAGAGGCAAAGTGACAAATTAAAAGATAAAGAGGTGCACGCTTTCCATGCTGCAAGATAAAACCGAGGCAGTGGCATTGTTGTGTAACGCTAATACTAAAAAAGAAAAAAAAAAGGCTGTGCTGTTTGGCTGCCATCTTGCTTTAAGTCACTTTTCTCCAATCAGGAACGATGTGACTTTCTGCATGAGGTAATGCCTCTGTTGCTCCAAAAGGCAACGAGGGATGAAGGAGCAAAGGAGAGTGAAAGAAAAAAGAGGGCGGGGGGAGAAAGTGGGATTAGGGAAGGGTTAGAGTGAAGGAGAAACTGGTGAGCAAAGGGGAGTGCATGCTTCAGCTCACAGGCAATCTATTTTTACCATTTAGCCAGAACAAAAGGATGTGATTGGCTGCGTTGTGTTAGGACAAATCTCCTTCATGCGTGGAACAAAGCCCTGAAAAAAGGCTGATTCACAGCAAAAATCCTCAAAAAAAAAAAAAAAAAAACAGAGAATGTCACAGAGCTACCCAAAACAAGACAGACAGGAGAAAGCTGTTGACAAAAAAAAAAAAAAAAGGCTTGGTTACATCACATCACGTCTTGCCTCAGCAACCGAAGATCATGTTTGTTTAATACAGTTTCAGTCAGAACCAATTAAAAACAAGCCACCATCACAAAAGAAGAAAAAGTCTGTGGCGTTAATGATTTACAGCACGAGCAGAAAAGGGAGAAACTGACACCAGTGTCGACCAGTCTTGTTCTCTGCTTATCTGCGAGATCTACCAGTCTAAACTTGTCCAAGCAGGCTCCTCGTGGAAGTGCGTGTGTGACTGCAGGCGCATGCTCACCATTTGCATGAAGGTCTGTGTAAGCTTGCACAACGTTTGCATGTCAGATCTCTATGTTGGACTTCCTCTCTGCATATATATATTTATACATATACATATATATCCTCTGAAAACATGTGGACGTCATTAAAAGTTTCTGCTGCACAGKAAAGTCAGGAGGAGGAGGCTGAGATACTGGAAAACTACAGAAGGGAGGATAAAAGGGTGGAGGGAACATCAACCATAATAATATTCCATCTGATGCCGATTGCCAATGAATCAGAGCAGGCCTGTTCAAATTATACTGACACCCCAATTCAATTTGCCCTTTCTGAAATTCCCCAAAGCTGATGCTACGATTCAATTTCTGTCTGACACTCTATCCCCTGCGCTTCACAGGGCCTGTCCCCTGGCTCTACGAGGCTTTTACCGTGAGCGACCATCTCTGGAGCCTGCTCGCTCTCAGCAGGATACTGTTAAAAACAGATCGGCTCCAAAGAYGATAATTAAACACAAATAAAACATAAAAACCTCCACTGGAAATGAGCAGATTATAAAGATTAGCTTAATAAAAACATGCCAAAACATTTTAGCCTGCCAAAGGCAGACATGTTCAGACAGACACAAACTGTTAAATATTTCCTTTTTGTTGTTGTAAAACAGAAGCTGGAGTGCCAAATGCTGCTCACCAGTACGATTCATTACACTGTTTACAACCCGACTTTTATTTAAAGCTTTAGAAACCAAAGTAGATTTCATTATAGATGTGTAGCCACGGTTGTTTACATAGTTGAACTTTTTTGTTCACAAGCTTCCTGATTAATTAATACGCAAGAATCTAGTTTTTCTGCGTGTTAGCTAATGTTTCATTCAGTTGCGTCTCGCAGCGCTATTAAGATTTTATACGCAGAGTTTTTCTCCCTCAACTCCTTTGCGAGTGACGTCCAAATAATAAGCGGACCTGTTGAACCTGAGAAAAAGAGTAAAAACAGTCAGCAAATGAGGCACCTATCTGGATGTGGTAAAACTCAAAGAGGCATTGATCTGCTGCACAGCAAGCCAGAGAGGGTCTGCTGAACAACTCAGTCCTACRGTGTGGCAGCCTCAGTCTTGGTGTAGGAACATGTGTGGAGACTACATGACTTCACACACACACACATACACACACATACATACAAATATAACTCACACAGCTGCAAGCTGGCTCCAGGGTGCTTTGCAGCCCTTTTACATTAGTCATCTTTCTGACAGAGATGGAGGAGGAAAAAGAGAGAAAGCACTCACCGGGACAAGCACAACCTCCAACCGACATCTTCTCACATGTTGGGCTCTTCTCTGAACGAAACAGCTGCACTCAGTCCACACGTTGCTCGCATGGGCTAACCCTGAAGAAAACAACACAGAGAGAGAGAGAGAGAGAGAGCAAGAGAGAGGGAGAGAGGGTGGGGAGATGAGAGGGAGTGGTGAAAAGCAGGCCATGTACAACACAACTACACTCCTCTCTCTGTCAGAGGCAGGAAGTTGGCAGCGGTGCTGTAGCTGCATCATTAATAGACACATTGCAACACGAGTGGGAGGGCAAAAATGAGCGAGCAGTGAAATAGGAAGAAAGAGCCTCAGCAGTGTGTGAGAGAGGAGGGAGGGGAGAAGAAGGAAACACGGATCAGAGTGGGTGAAATGGAGAATGCAAGAGGGAGGCAATTAGAGCAAAAGAGAGGAAAAGGAGAAAATGCAAAAGGTGTGTGTGTGTNCAGCTACTCCACTTTTTGTTGTTGTTGTTGTTTTTTAAGAAGGTGCAGACATTACCCCTCTGTCAACATAACAGCACGTTGCTCAAAAAAATCTCTCAGAGAGAATAATGAACTCCCCCTTCTGTTCGCCTCCCTCTCCCCCGCTGTGTGAACAGATATGTATAGTGGGTATGTGTGTGTGTGTGTGTGTGTGTGTGTGTGTGTGTGTGTGTGTGTGGCAGTGATGCATCGTCTATTTTTGCCCTGTGCTGCTGTGGGAGATAAACAGACTCAGTAGGAGCCCAGAGGCAGAGGGTAATTACTGCCAAACACACACACATACACATACGTGAACACACACACACGTGAACACACACCATGCCTCATGTCTGACAGATTCTCGTCTCTCTTTCTGTCTCCCTTTATTTCTTTTTTTTTTTTCCTTTGCTGCACAGAGAACACTGATGTTAATCACTACAGACAGTATCGATTAAAAATGCAAAGCCCTCCTGGAGCGCAGGGACACCAGAGGCTCATGGGAGACAGGAAGCGTGCACGCTGCCGAGAGTGTGTGCACGTGCTCACAACAAACGCAAGCAGCAGGTGAACCMTCCCAACTTCATGTGTCACTCCAGCTTCTCTAATCCTCCTTTAAAAACTCGTTCTCTCAATAAAATGACCTCTGTCTGCTTCTTGCTGCACGCCGGCGGTTCATTTCCCTTGCTTCACTTTTACTGTTCGAATCGTAACTTCTTTTGACTCAAGCATCCCTGTTCTCCAAGCAAATAATCTCATGAACTCACACTTAGCTACACAAACACAAGCAAGACATCTGACTCTCTTGAGTTGGATGTTTTTRCTGCTGTGAAGAGAGAAAAATGTTTCAGGAAAGTACAATTTAGGTCTTATATGAAGTTTAATCAATATCTGAATAGGTACAACACTTGTTATTTAAAGGGCTATAAAGAATAATGCAAAAAAAGTAATTTTAAAAGTGTTTTTGAGTCAGCTTTTTGCTCTTTTAACACTTAATTCATTCACCATCCAAACCTGTTGATTTCATACCTTCTAGTTCTTCACCCTACCAAAAAAAAATCCTCTTAGTTTAGTTGGAAACAGTTTTTTAACCCTAACCCTGCAGATTAATGAGTTTGCATGGATTAGACTCAGTTTGTGTACAATAAAAAATAAATTATTTTTCCTCTCTTCTACACATCTCTGACGATGCCCTCACTGTGATGATGCACATTTTTCTCCTCAGAAAGGCTAAGAGAGAGTTAAAACAACTCTTACATTGAACTAGATGACTACTGCGCACATTATTGCAAGTGTGAGGGCGAGTAAACTAATCCAAACAGACATCAACTTCTTAACAAGTACAGCTAAAACAGGTGACCTAGAAATAGAGAAAAAAGATGGCTGACAAACTAAAAGTCTTGGGCTGCAGACGGCACTGAATACACTGCAAAAAATGTCCACCTGACCAAGTTTTATCCAGCCAAAAAGTCTTTTTGATCTTGTTTTGAGACTGATTTACTA